TGGCAAGTTATTGGCGAGAAAAAGTCTTAACAACATCTCTAATTAAACTAATTGGAAGCAACTCACTTGACCGGTGATGGTAATGAGCAATTAACAAGCTGATATCGACTGCCTCTTCAATACAGCTCGCATTGCATATTAGCTATTGTTTTCATCAAATTGCCGCTCTTGTTCGCTGTTAAGCCCATTCAGACGAGGGGGGCGTGGGAGATGTGTGTGTGTGTGTGTTGCTTGCACTCGCTTGCAATTGTAGGGAGGTAATGGCAAAGGGTACGCCTATTACACAGCTCTATGCACACACTCGGGCGCTCTCAGCCAGGTAAACACACGAACACACACACACACACATCGGTGCCTAATTATATATGTACAGCAACAAGCACGCTCCTCTCGTTAGCATTAATAGTCGACAGAGCTGGCAGGTACATTATAATAATAATAATAATAATACGTATGAGCGTATAACGGGAAAACATGCTGCCATTTATTTACGCGTGACGAAAGCGACAGAGGAGGCAAGTGGGCACGTTATTTAAATGAGTTAAAAAGTGTTGGCCTTTGGCCTTTCACATCCATATGATGTCAGTCATGTGTGCTTCTGTGTATGTCTGTGTGTGTGTGTGTGCGTGTGTGAGCGCTTGTTTTTGTTTTTTTAAGGCTGCCGCTTGTAGTGAAACTGAGTGGCGCTAATGTGATATGACATGAAATTTAATTTAAATTATAGTATGTATGAAAAACAAGTCTCTCTGAGTGTGTTGCATGAAATATCAAAGCATCGCCTGGCAGGCTTAACAGCAAATATTGCATACCTTTAGGCGCATGCCAAACCGAACACTCCAAAATGCCATTTTCAATTAGGCAAACCGAGTGTTTGAATATATGCCCATTTTAATGTTTAATAACAATGCCAAATATGTGAGATGTGGAATTTACATGCATTCTACGTTTCCCTTCAACTCACACAAAAATACGTGTACACTATATGCGAGTATATCTGTGTGTGTGAGTGAGTATTAAATTGCAACGGACATGAATCAAAACCAATAATTCAGAGCGTATGCTGGGTAACAAGACAATAGAATGCCATCCATTGAATTTAATTAATGTTAACACGACGACTTTGACATGCACACAATACAAATACATATACAAATTGAAGGATACCAACAGTCGGCCGTCCGGTCAATTGCTTCGCTGAGTAACCGACTAACTGGCTGGCTGGCTGGCTGACTGGCTGTCTGTCCCTCTGTCTGGCTAAATGGGTGCAGCAGCTAAAATGAATAGCAGGACAATCACAAGCATATGTGGGTGCAATTCTGTAAGTCTGTTTCTGGCAAATGACTGCAACTGCAATGCCAATTGATGTACGCGTCGCTGACTGACTCCGTGACTAAATGACTGACACTACGACATGTGGAATGATTCGCACACTAGAGCAATGATTAAGCAAAACTGAAAGGCCAACTAAATAGTATTGTGAATTGTATTCAGACATTACATCAGTCAATACAAGTATATGAAAGATTGAGGTGATGTATTTTAATGGAAAAGCGTTTCATTCAAAGAATCGTTTTCAATTACAATGAAAACTCCCTTAACGGACACCTCTTTTATCCGGACACTCTCTTCGGTGGACACTTTTTCTAAAACATTCGATCGGTGTGTAAAGTATTTAAGTATGCCCTTAAGCGGACCAAAATTGGACGCCCTTGAGTGTCCGGCTAAGAGAGTTTTCCCTGTATATACCGTTGACACCTATACTTTAAAGTAATCTCACGTGGTTTCTATACGGAATGTACTTCAGCTGTACTGTACAAGGAACAATTAGAGCTAAAGATCCGAAAACCTGACTTATGCTTATAAATTTAAATATAATAATAATATATGTATGTTGATTAACTAAAGAAAAGGCATTTCATATTGTGGAAGACAAATGATAGGAAGAAAATCAAGCCAGCTAAGACTCACGAGCAAATTGTTCATGTTTCCAGAGTCCCTATAATCATTCTTATTCTGCTAAGTTTTTATAATAAAGCAGCTGCAAACTGTGAAGAGGTAGTTCCAAGCATTCCCTGCACAATCTATGCAGATTTATACACATTTAAAGAAATGCTATTTCTGATTCTGCCATCAATCAAATTATGTGGAATTAAAATAAACTAATGCAATAAATATTCATATATAATTTGGATAAGTTATACAACTATGGTCTTGCCTTTTAAAACCCCATAGCTCAAATGTTTTATGGATATAGAACCTTTACCACTTAGGATTCAGTCGGATTAAAATAAATAGCTTATTACAACATATTTGTAAATAATTTAACAAAACTTTCAAATAGATTTCTGTAATGACAGCTCAGTGTGAATGGAACAGTTGACTGACTGACTGACTTCACTTGGACTATATAGTATATCTCTATACACATGTCTCTAAAGTTTGCCTAATGAGCATTATTGTTGTTGTTGCTGCAAACACACGCACACCCACACACAGACACACACACACAACGGTTGATTGTGCCATGTCTGGCTTAGCAGCCATTTTGTTTGCCGGCGCTCAAGCTGACTGGCTCGGGTTTATTGTAAACATGTGTGCTAACAACTTTACTTCCTTGTCCAAACACTGCAACACACAACCGAACAATCGCACACCGCCGTGTGTGTGTGAGCGCTCATTTATAGTTAATAAAGGGACAATACACACACACACACAAACACACACACGTGTGTACAAATGCATTCATAGACTAAAACTTTGATTTAGTTGGCTCGGCTAATTTAGAACTTTATCTGAAAGTGGATCGTAAATTGTTGTTATTTTTTATTTGCTGCAAATAAATTGCCTCTGTGTTTTTAATTAACCGAAGCTAAGGCCCCAAATCCAATTTCGATCTCTCCATGCCAATTGTTGTGTTTGCCACGAGCGGTGCCTTATTAATAGCTCGTAAATAAGTTTCGTACACTAATTGGTTTATTTTGTATATATCGTTTGTGGCATTAAATTTTTCGCCCGACCTGGCAACAGTACGAGTATCTGATAAATATGTGGTTGGTGTATGCAAAAATTTGTTCCTGTTTTGTTTTGTTTTTCTTCAACAATCACACAATCGATCCAATCGTTCTGCCCAGATTTAACTTAATTCGTTCCCATATAGATTTTACTTATTGCGTCCATAATTCGTTTTCATTTATTTATGCTGATGTCATTACATTTGCTCTCAATGCCCAAACATTCCATGATTTATGCAAGTTTTTTTGTTTCGCTTTTTATTATCATGGTGCTTACCATTATTATTGCCATTGTTTTTGTTTTTGTTGTTGTTGATTTTTATTGCACACATTTTTGGCTGAAAGCAAAGTGTGCTGTCATACAATGACGACGACGCCACCAACGCAACTTTATCGATTTTATATATAGACGCCACACCTCACTCGATTCCCTTTTCATGCATTAACTTGCTTATCTCTTTTATAGTACGTACTACTTACATATATACTCGAAGTGGACGATATATGTATACACGAGTATATATGTATGTACAAGTATGTGCCTTCGTGCAAATAAATGTGTACACAACGGCTGTTTGATTTGCACGCGTTAAATTGTAATCTGGTCAAGGTTTCTTATATTGCATATTGCGTGTTGTTTGTTTATAAATATATATACAAATCTTGTGTATATATGACTCAGTTGCTTATTCATTTCATGATCCGGCCCGATTGAAATGATTTGATACTCTGCATCGATAGAGACATATTCTACAAGGATAAAAGCAATAATCCGTGCACTGAGTTTGCTTAAAATTTTAACAATTAAGGTAGCCATGTGTGTCCTATATAAACGCCTCGATCTCAGAGGTAATGTAGACATTTGCTTTACTTGTGGTCTTATACTGATCAGTCGATATAGGTCTATAGTATGTTTGCTTAAAAGTACCATCAAAGAATATGTGCAAAGCTACTCTTTATCGATCTCAAAAAACGGATACCTGGATCTCGTTGTGTAAATATTTTGTCGATGGTTTTGCGGATAATTTGTTCGGGCTATATAGTCTAAGTAAATGTTTATATATTAACAGGAACCATTACAAATGCTTTGTTATTTGAATCGCTTCAGTTTATCCATTTTTAAGGAATTAATATCAGGCCAGATATAGGGTAGAGTATTCCTTGTTCGCGTACGTTCGACTTGTGAATTTTTAATTTCATTTTATTAATTTAATGAGCACATAATTTTGATTGATATTTGGAATTAATGATTCATTTCAATTGAAAAACCACTCAGCGGGAAAAATTAGAGAAAAATAATTATTTTCGAAATTAGTTAATGAGAAATCAATTATAATGCATAGTGTGTAGAATTTATATAATTTTTATAATCAAGCATGTAGTTTTAGGACTTAATAATAATCGCTTTCATTCATTGTGTTCTTCCCCAGCTCTTTTTTCATTTGTATGTTCATTCCCGTATACATAAGGACAGGAGGAAGATAGGCAAAGAAGTCTCTTTTGGTAGGTTTATAAAAAAGTTCCATTAAAAAATCATTGGTAAGGTGGGTCGAGAGCGTAGCAATCATGTCAAAGCGTTATCTTCCAGGCAGGTACAGCTACTGCCTCGTGCATACTTCAGTTAATTCCTTCTCGTTTTTTCCTTGGGGGCTCTTTAGCTATATCGTCATTATTTTTTTACCAGACGTTTATTTAAATTCAATATATATTATGGTTGCATGGTTGTATGGTTGTTTTGCAAGCTGTCTCACATTTTATCCCGTCGGCCCAATGTGAAGATTGTGATGATCGGAGTTCACCGTTGAATGTTCCTTATTCTGAACCTTTTATACTTGCAGGATTTTATAGTTCATTTATTAATTTCAATCGATTATCTCCTTTTCCTTTGAGCAATACATATATAAGTCATCGGCAAGGTGCGCAAGAAAACTGTTAACCTGAACCCCAAAAAAGTTACCAAAATTGTTGAATAAAAACAAATAGTTCATCTCTTTTTTTTCTTTTTTTCTGTCTCGCTTCGTTTCGTAACCTACGCCAATAGGAACTGGATCCTATTGGAAATCGAATCGATCAAAAATATGCACATTTATTCACATTTAAAAAAATAATGTCGTTACACATACTATGTATACATGTATACATATATATATAGTATAAGAATATACATTTATGTATGTTCAAATGGTTATATGCACGTTCCGTATTAATATACAAATTAAGTAGAATGCATAAATGCGAAAATACACGAGTATATAAATGTATATAAATAAACAATTAGAGTTCTGCTTTCGATAAATATTTGAATATGTTAACATTAATATAAAATACAAGTACAGTTTTCAACAGTGGGCTAAAACAATATGCGACTTTCGTATTACACATCAAGTTCTTTCTTTCCTATTTATATATCTTTTAATATATACTTATGTATATTAACAATTTCTAGTTTGCTCCTCAAAAAATTTCGCTCTCGAAATCTGTGGTAGAAGATAGCAAGTTTAAAAGTTCATAGTTATGTATAGTAATAGTAGTTACAATAATAATAGTTTAACAACAACAACTAGGGTATTACAGATGGCACATATAGGTCAGATCATATCGTTTATTTAATTTGATTAAATTTTTGTTTGGTTTTTGTAGTTTTGTTTGTTTGTTTGTTGTATTTTTTTTTTTTTTGGTCAAAGAAAACTTTCAGTAACTTTTTGGACCATGCAAATAAATGTTTGCGTGCATAAAAGTATTTTGGTTTTCTTTCTGCTTTCTTGCTTTGTGCTTTGTGTGTATGTGTGTGTGTGGCGTGGAATTTAATTCCGACGCTAGACAATAATAAAAAGTTCGTTTTAAAAAACGATACACAACAAAATACTCCAAATGATTGCTTTAAGGCTTTAGGGTGCAAGTACCTATAGCAGCTATATGTAGCAGACATGGACACCTAACAGTAAACACGTGTACAAGTATGTTGGCTAAATAGCTTAGTAAGAGGCATTGAAATGGACCACTTTGAAAAATTGTTAACCATAAAGCATTGAGCTCGTTTATAGGGGCCGGCTCCCCGGGGCTTTCGAAGCCCGAAGCGATTGCCTGCCAATAAAAAAATAAACCAAAGTCGAGGCGCCTAATCGTTCTTGTTGAGGAAGTGCAGCACGTAGTGCAGCACCAGATCGTAGCAGTACTTGTATTCGGTCATATTCTCGACTAGTTGTGGACGGTGTCGACGCACGGTCTTCACGGCCTGAAACACATCGACCTCACCGTGCTGTATGACCTGCTCGATGCACGCATTAGCCGCACAATAAACACCGGCGCGACTGCGTCCATCGGGCGAGACAACACAGACGGGACCGTAGTCGACCTTGTTGCGCCAAATCTCAACCATATTCATCAGATACACCAGCGAATTGGTCGAGCTTGGAACCTTGTGGCCCATTGGCCAGCAGGTAAGCTGAAATAGTTGGACGGTACGTGTGGGCGCCTTAACGCCAGCCATCATTTCGGTCAGCGAAACGATTTTCTTATTGATCTTGAACTCCCACTGCTTGATGTTCGTATAGCTCTTGGACATGACATAGTGAACCGAGAACACCGGACCGTACTTCTCCATTTTGGATTTGTTGGGCCAGAACGAGGGGAACTGCTGCGATTGAGCGGGGGGCTGACAGAGTACGACGACGGCCGAGCATTCCTGATCGTAGACTAGCGACCAGAACTCGCCCAAAGTATGCTTCATGGGCCATTCGGTCACAATGTACTCTCGGGGCTTGGTGTAGCCATCCACAAAGACGGAGTTAATGTAGTCGGTGAAGGCATTGCCCTGAAACGAGGTGAGGTAGGGTCTGAAGTTGTCCGGCGGTACGCACAGCACATCGCGATTCTTCTCGCGATTATCGGCGCGATGTCCGCCCGCGCAGTCGCCAATCGTAAAGCGTGGGGTCTGCTTGCAGATCTGATCGTACTCGGCCTGGTATTCGTTCATTTTGGTGCCGGAATTACGACGCGCCTTGGCCTTGAGTCTGTCGCTCAGCTCCGAGACTGGGAACCAGGTCTTGCCACAGATGATGTGCTCCTCCAGCGTGTCGTAGACGAACTTGTATTGCTCCACATTCTCGACTAGACCCTTGCGGGACTGACGCAACTTCTTCAGATAGCCGAAGACATTGAAGGATTCCTCCTCCTCGGCCAGTTCCAGATTCGCGTCTATCGACATGTACACTCCCGACCGGCCGCCACCATCACTGCAGTGCACCAGAATGGGGCCCTTCATGTCATCGCCATCTTTGATGATATTGCCCACCACTAGACGGACGCGACGTCTGAACTCGAGCAGCGCATTGGAGAAGGGACATGAATGCGAATACCACTCCGTATAGTGGAACTGCAGAATGAGACGCTCATCACTGACCGCGCCCTGCTCGTCCTTCTTATATAGACGAAAGGTGCGTATGTGGAAGTTGGCAAGCTGCTCTTCCCGCACAATGTTGATGTGGATATCGCCATAGGTCTCATGCACCTCCATATTGGGGGGCCAGTATTGCACGCACATGGTCTTGGCGAAGTCAAAGGTCTTGGTCAGCATTATGATGGCGCTCACATTCTCTTGCCACACCATGCGCCAATAGGCATTCACGGTCTCCTCCACGGGTCCCTGGGTGACAATATAGGCATTTGGCTTGAGCAGGCTGTCCACATAGGAGGCATTTATGTAGTCGGAATCGGGCACGCCCGGCATCTTTTGCAATACAACTCGATTGTAGTCATATGGAATGCACTTGGGATTCTGATTCTTCTCCTGGTTGTTCTTCTTCATGGCATGGCGACAGGTGTTGTTCTCCACTTTGGCGGCAGTCTGAAATTCCAGCTTATAGAGCACCGGAAACTTGCGTCTCAGATCGCACAGTTTCAGAAAGTGTCGTATATCTATGGGGCTGTTCGGTATGGTCTTCGAGAGCGAGTTATTCTCATCGCGGGCCTCCAGCTTGATGCGTTCGAAGGATAAGAGGCCGCTGTTCAGCATACTCAGCTTTATCGTGTTCGGGATGGAGACAATGGCGCGACTTTTGCGCTGCTGCTTCTCAACGTCATCGTAGCGTGCGGATGACCTCGACCTGTGTTTGCCTTGCTTTGAGTTTGTTGTTGTTTTCACTGTTGTTGTTGCTGTGTTCGCTGCTGCTGTCATGGCGGCGGCTGCTGCTGCTGCTGCTTCTTCTATCTCTGCTGCAGATGCTATTGCTGTGCTGCTATTGTTGTCAACGACAATGTTGCCGTTAAGCGCCTCGGCCGCCTTCTCCTGCTCCCTCTCTCTGCCGCTCTCCTCTTGCTCTTGCTCTTGCTGCTGCTGCTGCTGCTGCGTTGTCATCATCAATCACGGTGTGAGGGGGAAAGGGGGGTGTGCGTCGCAGCCGTCGTCGTATAGGAAGTAGTCGAAGCAATCGTTTTGCGATTAGTTTGGTTTGTGCTCAGTCAGCATTGTAAGTATGTATGTCGGTGTGTGAGTGTGTGCGTGTGTGCATATTTTTGTTAGTACTGACAACCTGGTTAGTTGTTTAGTTTGGTTAGTTTATGGAATGCTTCGTTCACCTTTCAATTGCTCGCAAACACCCAACACCAACACCGACAATTTCGTTTTAAAAATAATGCCAAAGAATTTGTTGTACTTGTTCTCTATGCCTTTTTTGCGTTGAATATTATTTTTTTCACTTCACTACTAAGGCTGACGGCGACTGGCTGCTTTTTTTTTTCGTGTGTTTGTCTCTATAATTTGCAGGCTGCGCTGTGGAGAATAAGTTGACGACTGACAGCGAATGCTGCGATGTTTTGGGCTTTCACCTCTAGCTGGTCGGTCGGTGGTCGTTGTTTGTCAAACGCAGAGAGACAGATAGAAAGAGAGAGAGCGTGAGAGGGAGAGAGCCTCAAAGGCGGTGAATAGAGAGCGCGAGAGGATAACCAACATTTTCACCATGGCACATGTGACCAGCTGCTGATTCGGCCGCCTTGGTGGGTGCGCGACGTATTTTTAGCAACGACGGGACGGACGCAATACGCAATGTGCACACTGGAGCAGGAAACAAACAACATTTCTAGGCAACACTGTTTACTAATGTGCTTTGAAAATACATACACACAGGTCTCTTCATACATACATATACAAGTATAATAGGTAGTTTGCAACATTTTAAAATGCAGCTGAGAACACGTTTTAGTTGCATTCTCATTTGAAATAATATCAGCTTTTTAGAAAATTCAAAATATTATAAAATATGTATGCAAATTAATACTGCTGCCATTTTCGAATTCGACATAAGAATTCTTAATATAATTAAAAGTGTTCTTTTGACTGAAATAGTTTCCAGTTCTAATATATGTTTGCATTGATAGCATATTGATGAAAAAAGAATTGTAGTTAATGAAATATGTATTTCTGTAAATATTGCTAATTGATGCATGATTGATTTTGGAACAATACTTCGTTATGCATTTTATAATAAGAAGAAGTAAGAAGTAAGTAAGAAGTATATCGTTAAGTAAAAAACAGAAGGAAGATCATAAATTAAAATTTACAATATTGTAAGTAGTTATCCAATAAATTAACATTTTAAGTTAGAATTAATAGCAAAATTCCTAGATGGGCGTTATAAACATGAGCAAAGTCTGATCTGATCTAAATAATTCACATACTCCTTAGCATTTATTTGAGTTTGAATTGAAAACAAACAATTCATTTGATTTACGCTTTGACTTTCCACATTCGAAATGAATTCCACTGTGCAATTCACCTTATAGTATGAATGAAAATTTCGATTTTCCCATTGCACGCTCATTTCATCGCCAGCACTTAGAATGTTGAAAAATTTCCACTTAGCATAAAACAGCGCCCAGTCGTACATTTTCTCTCGCCCAATGCTCCCATCTGTGGGTTCTCTCGGCGCCTGCGCTCCAAACAGTTTTCACTTTTCATTTTCTCATACTTTGCTGTGCGTTTTTGCGCCCAGCATTGTTTGATGTGTAATTGAAAATTCCGTAAGTTGAATGAGGAAGTGACGCTGATTTGCACCGTCGAGAATTTATTTTCCATATTTAATTGGCAGGCCCAGTAATAATTTATGACAACAATGCGGTTTCCATGCATAATAAATAATCATATCAACATTTTTTTGTTGATGGCTGCACTAAATTTACATTTCCTGTTATTGCCAGCTGTGTGTGCATGTGTATGTGTGGGTGTGTACGGGTGTGTAAGCGTGTTCTTGTTGTTAGGAATTTTCGCGTTTTATTTCCGTATGCACTTTGCGTGTACAGCGACGGTGGCTGTGCTCTAAATAGCATTTGGCAGCAGCCCACAGTCAAGGAGGAAGCGGCTGCTCGCCTCGATTGCCATGAAGAGCAACAAACACACACACACACACATGTATAATTATATATACATAAACACACGCCCATAATGATGTTTGCTGATGATGGCGATGCCAATGCCGATGGCGATAATGAGCTTTGGCGCCTGCCACTGTTCGAAGCAATTTCGAATTTCGAAATGATTACACGCGCATTGTCAAATATTTTGTATGTAAACAAATTCTTTTGTGTACAATGGTCAGCGAACGCAAATGGGCAGGTTTATTTGTTCGAGAAAGAAGCTAAAAATACCGATATATCGTACACGTTTGCACGAAGCGCCATTAGGCGAAACACATTCGGTACAACACAGCGTATGCGCAATACTGTTGCTCCCCATAATGCAAAATTGAATGCATTAAGTCGAGTGCTTCCATAGATATAAACGACTGCTTTTAATAGTTGAAGTCCTTTAGATAATAGAATTCTGGGAAATGACTTTTAGTGAAATCAAATTTTAGATATTCTTTACACGACTTCGAACTCCATTTTGTTTGTAATATTGCCAGTTTCTTTATTTGTTTTTAATACCATTTTTTAATACCATTAAGTCCGAATATAAATGCTAATCTATCGATAGAGTAAAATTATAGTTCTTGAATTTGTGTTAAACAAATGGACATACTTCAATAAAATTGACCTCTAACTATACGAGTAAAATCGAAACCGAATTGAAGCGGTAAGACCGCAACTGTTTTGTTGTAATTTACTTCTAATTTTTACCGAGAACTTACCCGACGTTACGATAAAGAAATAATTCGAATCTTTTTCTTCTTTTCCCTACGGCCAAAAATATTTTGACATATCTACTAACTAAGTATATACACGTATACGATGAGCTTACAATTGGTTGTTTAGCATCCAAAATTGACTGCACGGGCTCCGAGCATGTCAGAACTCCTCAGCTTTTAAAGAACAATAAGGCCATAGTTTAAATTAATTTTGCTGAAAGACACAAATTTAAATTACCCGCTACTTTGTTTTCTGCTTCATAAAATGTGATGTGCACGTAACGCGATATTTTGTCAGCTTACTACACGAAGACCTGCTGAATAGTCTGCAAATCTCCACACAATGTTATGCCCACTAATTTGAACTGTTGACCCCCATTAGGGTCACAAAGCGGCCTAAACAGACAGGCCAGCGCGACATTACACACACACATACGCACAGGGCTCAAGTACTTAAAGAGCCGCCCCCGTCACATGTTTATGACTAAGCCAACAAAGCGTTGACTGCTGTTGGCCGCAGCCACACTGACAACCATGACCAGGACAATGTCGAGGACAATGAAGACGACAACGACGACGACGACGACGACGACGAGGACAACAACGATGTTGGCGCCTCATCAGCCTAATACCCGTGTAAGCTTCGGCACACGTTATGCCAACTAATTACCACTAAATCAGAGCAACAACAACAACACACAAATGCACTTACCTTGCCGAATATCGTGAGGCCACCATGTTTCATATTAAAGGTCGGCGCATCCGCATAACTCGAGTCCGCCCAGGGTGTATGACAAGTCGATGTCAGCGTCATGTAACGCACTCCGATGGCGTAGAGGGTTCGCAGCACCGCCAGAGAACCGCCCAGTGAGTGGCCACCTTCGACCCCGGTCAGTGAGCAGAGTTGTTGATTTTTGTGCGCCTCGATGATGTCTGAAAAAAGGAGCGAACGGATACAGAGCATGTTAGAATTCAAAGTAAAATGATGCATTGTTTTTGGCAACCAAAGCATAAGTAACATTCGCTGCTGTCCGTCCGTCTGTCTGTCATTTGCTCAACTGAACTGAACAGAGCTGAACAGAGCAGGGCAGAGCAGAACTGTGCTCTGTCAGACTGACTTGAGTCTGTCTCTCTGCTTGTTATTTTGGCCCGACATGACAGCTTGTATTATATGCCAAACAAATTCACGCTTGTCTTATGGCTTCTTTGATCTTTTCAGTGCGTTTCAATGCTTTATTTTATTTCGAGTACTTGTTAAAATACTTCCACATTGTTCATTGTTAGCTTTGACTGCAGAGTTGAACCAAAAATTCGTCAAGTTGTTAGTGTTCGTTCTTGTTTTCTCCGTGTCTGTGTTGTTTTGTTTTATTTTCTGCTTCCCGCATGGAGTGATCAACTTTTTCGTCTAGTGTCAAACTTTTAATGATAGCAACGACAGTATTTAACAACAGTCATTATACGAGTGTGTATGTCTGATGGTTTCGACAGTTGCTGATGAGTTCTTCTAGCGCAGTGAAAAAACTACGGCATTCAATATGCAGAATGTCATATTTCCAAACAATTGCTTCAGTTGGATTTAAGCAGCTTAAGGATAACTACATGACTGACGTATCATTGTTAGCATTCATTGCGTGTACGAAATATGAAGAATATGTTTTTATTTCATATTTGAAAAATCACAACTTTAATTAATAAAGTTTTCGAAATCCAAAATGCTATAATTTAATCTAGTTGACAAGCTCAGAGCTGCAGCAAGTATTAAAAAAATAATATATATACATTTATATGAAAGTTTAAAATGTATGTAAGCTTGAATATGTATTCCATTGAGTTTTTTTTTCTCATATTTAATAATTATAAGAAATGTGTGAGAATTATGATATGCAGCTCGATTAAATAAAAATAAAACGAGTTCCTTAACATACTCATATTATTTACCATTTCAATAGCTGGGTCGACTTCGTTTCTTTATCTATATACCAATAAGATTTTGTCAATAATCTATTGATTCTCAATATTATTTTCTTAAGTCATGTGGAATATGTGAGGTTTGGATTTGTTCCGTATGCCTAATGTATTTTCCGGGTAATGGTAATTCAACGAAAACCACAATACTTCTGAATAAGCTTGCGCTTGCGTTCGATATCTATGCATGTATTTAAAAAAAATCTATCAATATCTTAGGATCAATATCAATTCAACTGCCGCCTTAGTTGAGTAATATATTTTATATTACAAAACTATTATACGCTATATAGATTTCTATAAAATCAGTTGATGGTCCAGTTACTTGTGTTGTTATTTGGAAATAAAATAATTAATTGGTTAAATGACAGTTATTTATTTCTATCATTTCTTAGTAAGCCTGACTTTTCCTTTTGAATATGAATAAACAACTTTTATCATAGGCTTTTTTCATCAAATGATAATGTTGTATACTGCATTATTATAATATTAATTTGATTCTGATACCTTACTTATTCTGATCATAAAAAGTGATTATAATTGTGATTCAAATATTCTTGGTTAAAGCCCTTGTTTAACAACAAGTATCCGATATACTCGCAGCTAAGTATGTGTTCCTGCTTAGCGTAGCTTCGAGAAGAGAATATTGCTTTCGCTGCAAGTAGTATGTGTTTTTTGTTGTTGTATAGATTGAGGTTCAGGGTCTGCGTTCTACAAACCAATTACGTTGAAATACAACATTCCCAAACTCTTGTCGCGGCATTATTGAAATATATGCTTACAAATGATTTCGAATGCGCACAAAAGTCATCTTAACAATTTGTCGCACAAATCAAAACCTGTACCTTAATGCCAATTCTAATAACAATTCCGACACGCACACACACACACACACACACACACACACAGAACATACAAACGCTTGGGGAAACAAGTAAATAAAATGCCACAAAGAAGTCGAAACTGGCGAACAAGGCGAACAAAAGCATTTGCTACCAGAAACACAACTTTGCAATAAATACAACGCATAGGTAAATAAGCTGCGTAAAATCAAAGGGAACGCACTTGAATGGGTGCTCTGGAGGAGTTTCGGAGCCCGGCTCTGGTCCCCATTGTTGTCCGAAACACAAATACCTGCCACAAACCGGCTCAACGTCGTAGTCGTAGTCGTCGAAGTCGTTGTCGTTGTCGTTGCAGTAAAACCCTAAAATATGGAGCAAATAAACAAATATTTTGCCAGAGCCAATGCCAGAATTGCGGCTGCTCTTGCTGTGGCTGTTATTGTTGCTGCTCCACGGCAGCTGAGGAGAACCGGCCAGAACCGATGGCAACAAGACCACTAAAATGTGCCACGTGAGCAGCAGTTCAATTTTGCAGGACTCAGTCCTTTCGTCTGGCTGGCCATGTTGCCGCACTGTCCTGCATGTAATTGTCTGTGACTTGGCAGAAAAGGGACTTACTATTGACTGCTCTCTTGCCATTGCTAAACACACACACACACACACACACTCATCTATATATATGTATGTATGTATGAATGGGTATGTATAATGTATAATATATGACCACGTATCGATGCGAATTGAAGCAATAGAGCGTCGAATTCTCAAACACATTTCAGAATGAAAATCCCTGCGCAATGCCACTTGACGCAATAAACCAAAAAGAGAATGCTCCGTAGAAGTGATCAGAGAGGTAGTGGGGGGTTGGGGGGGGGGAAGGGTGGAATAAGGGCGACACTGACAAAGGCATTGGCGCAGCTTTAGCTCAAAACTGAAAGCAGAAAAGTGTTCAAACAAAATGCAATTTTCTCACTGCTAAATTGAAGTTTACATTCGCCTTTTCCCATTTTTAGTTATATTTGGCTTTTCCTTTATTTTCCCTTTCTTTGCTGTTGTTGTTTTGTTTTGGGTAAAGGACTTGTGTGGTCGCAAAGGTGGAAATTGAAAATTGTAAATAACAACAACTATTCACAGATAGTTGTAAAAATGTAAAGTAGCAGCACATTCGACAGTTGCAGTTTGTTAAGAAAGCAAAGCCACACACGAAATTGTTTGTTATTGGCGCTTAACTGAAGTGGAGCTGGCAGTGGGGGGGGGGGAGCTGGAGACGAAGCTCCTTTGTGGCTATAGTATTTATATAGCGCTCATTTGTCTAGCTGAAGACCATTCCGACCCGACCCGTCCAGCCAGCCAACTGACGTGCCACGTCACCATCACTCGACGCGCTGTACTTCGGTTCGTTAGCTTTGAATTTTTTGCCATCACTTTGAATGAGTCCGAGGACCAGTTGTAGACCCTGGACCTGCATGGCTGCAGGAATGTGAAGGAATATTGCGCAAGGATATACTACATGCATTACTGCACTTGCTCAATAGTCACTTGCACTCGCATTTTATTTGTACGATATGTGAGCGAAACGAAATCGGACATTCCACAATTTGAATTGAATTTATTTGCTGCTTAAATAAAATGTTGGGGTTTATTTTCCGCAGCAGTTGCGTCTGTATTTCGATTGCACTTCCACACATACGCTGTTTATATTTTTACTCTCTATGTGGAACAATTGTTGCCTGCAGCAGCATTCTTTCGCCACTTAAATATATATTGTTTGCACTTTAACGAATTCCATACACAACTTTTGAAAAGATACTTATCTACAAAACCAACGCACTTCTTTACAAATGCCCTTATGCCAATAAGTTGAGAAAATTGAAGAGGAAAGCCTATATATGTTTGGATATATAGGAATATATTGAAAATAATAATTCCATATACTTATCAGGAAAATTGTTTTTTTTTTCTTTAACACAGAATCGATTAATTGAATTGATATTTTCGCCAACTTGAGTTTGACTTTTATTGTTCCAATACATGCTATATTAATAAACAAACCATTACAATTGTTATAGCCCGGCATCTGAATACTCTGCACCCATTGTTAAAGCAAACTTATTTGTACGAAGCACCGATTTGCTTTTAAGGTCTGCGAAATAAGTCACCTTATCATGCTCATAACGTAATGCCACAGATTTACCATTTATGTTTTCCACTTCATTTTTTGCATAGTTTGCTTTCATCTAATTCTCTTGCTTAAAACAGTAAGGAGAAGCAGAAATCCGTTATTACTACCGTTATTTCTATCGAAAATTGCTGCTGCCTCTCTTTCCACAACGAAATAATTGAGCTGATCAAATCAGTTTTTGTCATTGTACCAGTGCATTCAAGGGCCATTTTCATCAAAATTTTGGGATTTGTAATTAAAAAAATTAAATAAGTGAGTTTTGACTTTAATCCAGGCTTAGAATATTAGATCAGATTATAATTAACCATAATTTTAGTAGAAATGCATCAAAGCCGTTACCTATCTGATAAAGAAAGAGCTAAAATATTAGCATATCGAGAAACTGGAATGCCCTTACGTGAAATTGCTTCCAAAATACAAAGGAGCTTTTTTACTATACAAAAGTTTTTGAAAGACCCCGAACACCACGGAAAAAAGCCACGCTCCGGTCGCCCGCCATTGGTACAAAATCGCGATAAGAGGAGAATAAAATCGTTAGCACTCAAAGAAAACCTGAGCGCAGGCGAAATTTGTCAGGAACTGGATCTCTCAGTGTCAAAACGTCGCGTGCAACAAATTTTACGAGCCGATCAATTCATTTCATATGAAAAAAAAACCGTCAAATGTGAACTACTTCCTCGGCACAAAGTTGCCCGCATGTACTTTGCAGAGATGCATAAGTTTTGGGACCTGGAGTGGAAAAATATTATTTTCAGTGATGAAAAAAAATTTAATTTAGATGGACCAGATGGGTATCAATATTATTATCGTGACCTCAGGACCCCCAAACAAATGAAAGTGTCGCGCAATTTTCAAGGAGGATCGCTAATGGTGTGGGCTGCATTTTGCTGTGCTGGAAAGAGTCCTATATGCTTTGTCTCACATAAAATGAACTCCGAAAACTATGTAGAGCTATTGGACGAAAACCTGATTCATTTTGGAGAAGAAATGTGTGGAGATTATTGGACATTCCAGCAGGACAATGCTCCAATCCATGTCTCAAAACGCACAAAACAATTTTTTGAGGATAAAAAAATACCACTTTTGGTGTGGCCTGCAAAAAGTCCAGATCTTAATCCCATAGAGAACCTTTGGGGAATCCTTTCCAGTAAGGTTTACATGCATGGCAGACAATTTAGATCCTTGAAAGAATTAAAAGAAGCAATCGTAACAGAGTGGGCCAAATTGGACGGATCACTTCTTCAAAACATGGTTAGTTCAATGCCAGATCGCATGTTAAGAGTAATTAATAGTAATGGAGGACATATCTAAACAATTTGCCGCTAAAAACACAAGTAAATCGAGATATAAATATAGTTTTTTGAATTTGATCAGTTCAATTATTTCGTTCGGAAAAATGTTCATTTAATTTTTAAAAAAGGTTCTTATAATTTCTTAAATATTACTATACTGAATTTAAACTGTCATTTTATAAAGTTTAAGGAAAAATTACAATCATTTTAAAATATCGAAGATTTTTGTTTTAATTAAGAAAAATATGTTGATAAGGTGACTTATTTCGCAGGCCTTACCTTTGCTTTATGACTGGCAGACTGCTAATTACTAAGTATGTTGTTATTTGTTTTATTTCACACACGCTCCTTTGGCTTTTGGTACTAATTGGACTATTTTCAACGCATTTACGCGCAGCTCCTAATATAGTCCCGTGCTCAAGCTATCCGTAACCCATTTGTGTAGTCCACGCTAATTGATGTTTACAGTTTTGTCTATGTGTTTTCGATAAAAACACATGCCTAAACGTGTGGTTGACTGTTGCTGCCAACAATATATAATTAAGTGCAATTCTATCCTGCCCTCTTTGTTTACCCTTTCAATGAGAAACAAAATGTGGGAAGTGGCGTGTCGGACAGAACTTTCGGCTCCACCAGTGTCAGAAGCTATCAACCTGCTGAAGTGTTGACATTGCAATGGAAATATCGGAGCATAGCATGAGCATTTTTTATGCCTGCAAACTGCTGGCACTCGCTCCTTACACGGCTTGTACTGGCCCTAAAGGCATATTGGAAATAAGACGCAGCCGCCTCTTCAGCATTTATTCAGGATTTCTGAGTTCAGTTATGGGTGAGCTGACAAATTAATTAGCAATTCAATTAACCCGTTCTTAACCCGAACACATCAGTTTTTTTAACATATATGGGCCTGCACTACGATGCCAACTCAAAGGTACCTGTGCGGTAAGTTCTCATCGCCAATACATGAAATAGGGAAACAAGCGCATATACATGTTTGTTTCCATAATTCAAGTATAACATAATAATACATAGCTTTTGTTAATTCGCTCCTCGAATGGGGTGAAACCGCAGCCAAAAGTTATTTGAAAATATACAACCTTTGGGCAGAACGGGAAAATAAGTCCAGTTTTTGTTTACTTTTGGTTTGTTCCGGTTTACTTTGGATATGAGTATTATTTCCTTTAACTGCAGTTTTGCATATTCGTCTATTTAAAGTCCTAAATCGAAAAAAATATAAAGCTCATCTTTTAGAATGAAGTCGCCAACATCAAAAGTTGTCACGGTCTTCGATGTTTCCGTTGTGGTTCTGGCAATAGCTACCGGCGTTTACTGCGGCCTAGTTGGGTTAAAATCCACCCAAGAGTTGAATAAGCGTCTGCGAAAGGTCAGTACAGATACAGTCCATACTATAGTATAGTCCTTAACTGCTCCTTTGCTGATTTTAAACGATAGATCGACAACAGCCTGGGCGCCTATTCGAATCTGAAACGTGATCGTTGGCGAGCTCTGATCATGCTAATCACATCTCTCGGGATTATTACGCTGCTACTGGGCCTGGATATATGCACATGGGTGCGTTTGGCCGCTGAAATGAGGGTCGATGACTATGATACAGGTTAGACGTCGTAATTGTAATGATCGGTGTATAAACAATAATGTCTTGCAGAAGTGAACGTTCATTGGTATATACCCTTCTATGGCATGTACCTCATATTAACGGGCTTGCACATAAACTTTGCCAACACCGTCTATGGAATAGGCAGGCGCTACAGACGCTTGAATATTCGACTAAAAAACAACTTCCTGGTAGGCAAGTATGCATAATTATACTTAAATCAAGTATGTGGTCTTGACAATATGATATATAGATTCCAAGGATGGTCAGCCACCAAAGAAATTTAGAGTGCAAACAGTTAGCTTTAACCCGGAAATGCGAGCTCCGCTTTCCATGCCTTCTTCCCTCTCGAAACTACAAATTGAAATATTGCCTGGAGAAACGGCTGGTGCGTATAACAAAAAGTTATAGCTCCCGCACTAATAAACAATTTCCACTCTTATTATCGTCTACAGCAAAAAATAAAAGGCTGATCATTAAGACATTGGCCGAAAATCATGACTCGCTATGCAGATGCGTTCTATTGGTCTCCAAGTGAGTGAGAAAATTGACATTTTAAATCGAAATCAGCTGATTTATTCCCATTAGTACGTACGGAATTGTGGTGCTATTCATATTAGTCTCGTGTCTCCTCCACCTGGTGGCTACGGCATATTTCCTTTTCCTGGAACTGCTCAGTATGAAAAATAAGGGCTATCTTTGGGTGCAGGTCCTTTGGATAATCTTTCATTTTTCGCGCTTGCTCATGGTAGTGGAGCCATGTCATCTGTCCGCCCGAGAATCTCGTAAAACCATTCAAATTGTGTCCGAAATCGAGCGAAAGGTGTCTGAATCCATTCTGGCCGATGAGGTTAGAAAGTTTTGGCAGCAATTGCTGGTGGTTGATGCTGACTTCTCAGCTAAGGGTTTATGCAGAATTGATCGCACTATTCTAACATCCGTAAGTAGAAGTTGAGCCAAGTTCTACGCTTTTTCTCTTACTTTTCTGTTGCAGTTTGCGTCTGCAATAGCCACATACTTGGTCATACTCATACAATTGCAACAAACGAATGGATAAAGAAAAAATAAAATACGTTTTATACATTTGAAACTTACTAATAAGATAAGACAAGAATTTTCCTGTAGTCTGCAATCCAATATTATGTAAATAAAGTTTTTTGTAAGGCTCAGTTAAACAAAATACTTCAAATGTATACAAGAAATCTTTTTGGTGCAACTTCTCTTTTTCTAACAAATATATTAAAAATGTCCAGCAATTTTTCATTTCAGGAGCAATTCTTCATATTTCACGGACATATCACACAATTTGGATTTTCAAATTAATATTTCTCTTCATTTTTCAGATAGTTTAGCACAGGTACACTACACTACACTACTACACTACACACTACTTGTTGAGAGAAATAAAATCATGTTTATGCTTCTACCGGCCAGAAATCGCTTTCATAAATTTTCAACATTTTATGTTGGCAGTAAAAAATCTGCATATATTATTTTTGCTGGTTTTTTTTTTTGGTTTTGTAAAATCAACACATGCCTTCACATATTCATTGGCATGCGTGTTGAGCTGTCAATGCCTGCCAAATGGCTTCTATAGCCTCTAAGCATATGTGCTGGCATCCTTATCAAACAAATTTATTGTTCATCTGGAAGCTCTCTCTTTTTGAACAGAATTCATGTGGTCCTTATGAAAACTATTTGCCTGTCGCAAAAACGAGAAGAAGCTGTGAGAAACAATGAAGGAGTGGTGGGGGAGAAAAAAAACGGAACATTTTGCCGTAATATTTCATGCTAAAAGTTTTCCTGTTGCAACGAAAATGCTTTTGTACATACTCGTACATTGCTCGAATGATTTATTGACATTTCCATTTACGGCAACATAAATGTTTCAGCGCAAATGCCGGAAACGATTTGGTGCTGTTTCTTCTGTTCGGTTTCTTCTTTATTTTTATTGTTATTTGACCTTTTTTTCTGTTATTGTTTGCTGCCTCTCGACATGCATAATGTGGGGAGGCAGGAGTGCAAATCAAAATGCAAAACGGAAAGCAAACCAAACAAAACAACAAAACTCAAATACTAGCCGGGGAACATAAGTCAGAAGTTGTTGTTGCAGCATTAACAGTTACACAATCAGAATTTACCGTTGGCCGCCCACAGCGCCCCCTTTGTCGCTTGATTGCGCAAAATATGAAGAAATATGCAATGGCGCCGGCAACTCAGCTCGACTCTACGGCATGTAGGTGAGTGCAGAAATATCAAAGGAAATGGCGCAAAAATATGGCACGCGGTAAGCGTTCGCCACAGTTGTCGACCTAGCAAATGGTGCACGCCAGATACTTTGCCACACGACCGCAACTTGCCGACTTCAAGTTTCCGCTGTTTTGGCCCAAAAGCAGGAGGCAGCAAAACAAACGGGGCGTACACTTCATTTGGCTATGGGAGTACTCGCATAGTTTTGCATTCGTTTTTCAGGCCGGGAACATGCGGTGCAATTTTATCAACAGCATGCCAGCCTGCCATTCTGCCAGCCTGCCAGGCTGCCTTCAGATATGCACTTGTTTGCCAGACACATTTGAGGGCACACGCGGCGTATGCGCAATGTCAAAAGTTACGCCTGTTTGTGCTTTCAATTTGCCCGTGCTCAACATTTCTGTTTGTGTCGGTATTTTTTGTTGGCAGATTGTTGCGTTACTTACCTTGGGCCGAGGTGCATGTTGTTAGCTGTGGAGAGTAGCGATCCGTTAGCCGTTTAATAACATCGATCTGCTCGAGCGTTAACTGCACCGCGTCGCGATGTTGCGCCTCACAGGGCACATATGCTGCCCAAAACTGCAATAAAGGAAAGAAAATCAGAACAGGGCTTCCGCATGCATTGCAAATAAAGTGCTTGTGAAGAGATTGTGATAAATGGTTGCTCTGGCTTAGATGTTGGTTTATGGACAAGAGTTTCCCAAATGATTGCTTCAGTTAAGTCGTTTAGAGACAAGTAAAAAACTGATACAAAGGATTACAGATGATATTTTAAGCTATATCTTGGGACGCAAAGTCGTGACAATAATTTACCTAATAACATTTTATAAAATGTATATTGTTGTACTAAGAGTAGTAATATAAGACCTTTAGAACCCATAAAGAGTTGCACTATTATGTTGTCTATATTGTAAGAAGAGAATTTATTGTTTTAAGTCATCAAAAAATCTAGCCACCTTATTGAATATTACATCCAGCCCTTTTTTGCCTATTGTATCACAATACCTGAAAAAGTTTAATTCCATAAAGAAGAGGGAGTACTTAGAATACATGCCTTAGCTATTAGAAGTCGAAGTCTTTCAAATACATACTGTTGGGTCAAGTAAAGTAGGCTTCCGATCTACTGGAGACATTTAAGAAGAATTTTTCTCATTATCTACTATGTATCCCTTTAAATGAGTCGTAAAAAATTTTTTTTTATTTTTAAATTTTGTAATATGTAGAAAATTAGGAACTTTTTGATGGTTGTGCTACCATGTATTTTAAAAGTTGCTTCAAGAAACAATAGTTTATAAATAATCAAAAAAGACTAAACTCCTAGTTTAAGCTGTATTCGTATTTTTCTATAAGTTTAATTTAAGTTATTGTAAATAATATAATTAAAGTTTGACATTAAAAAAAAAAGGTTGAAGAAAAGCTTAACTGTTAAGCTACTGTTACTTTTGCTCTATTAGTTTATCTCACTAGTGGTGTATAGTAAAAGTATATATACATATATATTGAAGTACAATTTTCAAACTTTTTTAAAGTCATTTATGAAACACGTTCATCTATGTTTGTACTTAGTGCTTAGGTCTTGAAAACTATTGACTGCTTTATTAACACCAACCGACTTTCCTAGGGATGTTGAGTTGATAACTTTTCGGAATACGATATAGATACATTCTGTGCGTGCGCACATTTCCAATTCCCGCATTGCACAATCAAAATTGCAATTACGTATACGCCCCCTAGCGCAGCTCATTTCCCTAATTTGATGTGTCGAAATGCAAGTTCGACTCTATTTATGCCAGCACAAAAATCATCAATTAACTGCACCAACTTGACAGCAATTAACACCGCCTGCACATTATTCAGAGTGGCGAAGGAAGCTGCCGGCAACAGACTCGACAAACTCGACAAGAGAGTTATGGCAAATGGTGGGTATGATGTGAATGCCGTCAACAAGTTCAATTAACCTAACACGCACACACACACACATACAGACACACACACACATACAGACAGACACACGCCAGGCAGCAGCGACTACCTTTCGAAATTGGCCCAATAAGTTTTTGCTGCGCTCATCGAACATGAAAATCCAAAAGTTTCGTTCATGTTTATGGAGGTGGTGAGGTGAGGTGAGCTGTGTTTTAGGACCTGGGGAATTTCAGCAAGTTATGGGGTGCTAGGTATCAGGCATATATGTATGTACATACTTGTATGTACTCGTATATGAAAGTGTTAAGTTTTAATAAGCGTTGACTTTTAATGCCGTGACTTTGACGGCGTTCGCCTGTGTCGAGTCAAGCTCACGCCATTTGGTTGCGTAATTAAATTGAGTGCAGCATAATTTTACTTGCGGCTTCTATGTTTGGCAGCAGCGCCACTTAGCCATGACTTGTTGTTTTTCTTGTGCCCGTACTTGGCTGGTTAGCAAACAAACTGCAATTACCTGTTAGCCTGCCACAAACACACAAACCTACTACACCCTACAAACAAATAAGTAAACAAGCGAATGTTGCTTTCCCAACATCAAATTTATGGCACTTTGAGGGGGCGCCCCAAGCAGGAAGCGGATATGGCTCGAGCCATGTTAAAACTGCAACAATGGCGCTTGGGGCAGCAGCAGGACGAGCAGGACGGGAGGGCAACGTGCACGTGCTAAACGCATTGGAAAAGTTCATTTTCATTATGTTTAAGGCACGTTGAAATGTTTTTACTGCCACTGCTGCTGCTGCTGCAGTTACTGTTACTGGCCCTGTTACTGCCTGCCACTGCTGCTTTGTTTGCCGGCGCACGTGAGAAATCGTTCTTGCGGCTCTCACCAACTTCGTGAGCTGGCAAAAGGTTTCGTGTCCAATTTGAAATATTAAAGCGGTTGGCCAAAATGTTTATTTGCTGTTGATTTATTAACTTGCTTTCGCTTTTCACACGTAAAGATTGTTATTTTCTTTCTTCCTTTTTCAGCTATACTCGTATATTGGTTTTTGCTTGCCATCTATGATATATGACGTTTTCCTGGATTTTCTGCTCGCATTTTTCATTCTAATTGTAAATTGCGAGTTATGCTCGTATTTTCCACTACGAATTTTCCAATGTGAATTGTTTTGTGTTTCTTGTGTAACTTTTGTAAGTTCTGAGCAGGGCTTGACAAGAAGAAATAAATTGTTCGAGATATTCAAGTACTTTGAAAACTTTTCAGAAAACTATTTCCCAATTGGTTTCTAAGTTGTCTTTTGACAAAACTAATTCATGGTACCGAAGTCTTGCAATATTTAACATTTTCATGAACACAGCTCTCTTATAAGAGCTTTTAATTTGGTTACGATGCTTGACGTTTTATTTATTAAAATGTTCGTGTTTTTCACATGCAGATCTGCTCGCTTTTGTAGACAATTTCCTTAATAGTGCTTTTTCTGATGACATGGCAAATAATCGATCGACTTGAAGCTTTTTATTCGAAATGTAACTTCTGACGAAATAGAGCAATAGTAATAATACATTGTATTAACTTTAACTTTTATAATTGTGTCACAACAATAATATTTAGCGCCCGATATAAGTAGAGGATTTTTATAATCAATCTGCTAACTAATTTAGATAGCATTTATTGCTTTTTATACCTAATACTCACTGTTAGGATTTGATTTTAAACTTAAATTCTTAAATGTATAAATTAAACTCTCCTAATCCATTGAAGCTAAATATTTTTTGATTGGTTCTGCGATTTTGTAGCAAAGGGCTAATAAATATGACGCCTTCTATAATTAAGTTGATTAGAGATGGCTGGCATGATTCTTAATTTAATTAATTTCCCTTGTTCTTCCTTGTATATGTCCGTCTTTCAATATCAATTTCTGGTATCTCCGGGAAATTATTTAGGAAAGGTTTGCCTAGCGCAATGAGCGTCAACTCACTAAGTGCTGGCAAATGACAGATAGGATGCTCTAGGATTTTTTACACCTCCTTAGCGCCTGATATTTGAAGTCAAGTCTGGCTACCTACCGGACTGTGAATAGCTTTATGATCATTATATTCTGTATATGAAATGTGCAAGAGTACATTAGGTTTGCGCGAGCTGAAAAATGTAACAGGCAGAAGGCGGCATGGCAGGCCCCACAATGTATATATATACTTGATCAGCGTGACAAGACGAGTCGTTCTAGCCCTGTCTGTCTGTGTGTCCGTCTGTCCGAATAACCACCTGGGTCTCAGAGACTATAAAAGGTAGAGACACCAAATTTTGCACAAAGATGCCTTATGTGTGTACGCTATACGAGTTTGTTTTATTTTTTTGATTTTCCCCCACTTCCCCCTATGGGGGTTTTCCCGATTTGCCATTCGTATAATCGCCTATATCTCGGACACTATAGGAACACCAAATTTTAGTCCAAGATGCCTTATGTGAATACGCAGAAAATGTGTATTTTGGAATTACCCTCCCTTTGCTTTGTATATGTGCAATTATACACCCTTTACGTGAGTTCGAATGCCGAGAGTGGTAAAATCGACACAATTTTTTGTATAATTATTGTAAACATATGTACAGAGTATTTTTACTTGTTTTTATTTACTTCAGCAAACACTGCGGCTGATTTAAATTAAAGCGATGCAACTTTATTGTGAACAAGAATTTTTAGTTAATCATGAAGTTTCTGTAATTTTGACTATCTTTATCTTTTATCTTTTTTATTCTTTCCTAAAGCTACCCTAGAATTACGAAGTTTCATTTATGTAAGCTGCCTTTCATTTTACCAAATTGTTCATTCGAAAGTATTTCGGTCTTATAATGCAGTTTTGGAATGTTTTTATCCTTTCTTTCTTTAATGTGCCGTTTTGGACTTTTTAAGTTTCGTAGACTCGTTAGCCGTAACGTTCGCACTCAATTCGTGCTACATAGTGAGCATCATAAAAGAGTCTACTGGCAAGAAGTAGAAGAAGAAGCAGCAGCAGCTAAAATACGAACTTCCGAGAAGGCAGCATGGCAACTAACTAGTTGACAACATGTTTCAACAATTGTTGCCGAAATGCCAAACGTGCAGCGAATGCGAGCGTCGAGGCACAGCAGGCAGCAGGCGCACTGTGCGGCCTCAGCAGAAAAAGCTAAGCCAGGGACAATAACAACAAAGGGAGGCGTGACAACGACAGCAAAACGTTTAATAGACAAGCTGAAAAATCACGTTTAGGCCATAAAGCACTCAAAAGTGTGCAGCTTTAGCTTCTTTTTCCAGCAATTTTAAATGCAGCCAACAGCCATGGCAGTCGTCTAGGCTCAAGAACTTCAGTGCTGGGGGTGACAAGCATAAAAAATATTGGAACTAGGTGAGCAGCTGGGCACAAGCAGTTGGCTAAGGCAAATGGCTACCAACAACAAAAATGAGAGCCAGAGAAAGAAAGATGGAGAGAGACAAAAATTTGATGCAGTTCAGGGCCAAAAGCAGTGAAGCAGGTGTAGTTTCAACAACATTGTTGAAACATGCAGCCAAAAGTTGGCTAAAGCCACGGACATGGACACGGACACCGACACGGACATGGGCACGGACACGGACATGGACACGGAAACGTCATGTAACGGTTGTTCAAGCGCCCGATTT